CGCGGTCGAAAAGCTCGATGGGTGGAGCAACTCGCTGAGTACACCTTCACTACTGTTCACCGGCCGGGTCGGCAGCACTTGAATGCAGATGGTCTGTCGCGTTCCTTGAAGCCGGAGGTGCAACCCTCCCATCTCGAGACTCCCGCAAATCAGCCAGAGCAAGCTAGTTCCTCTGCCACAACGGCGTCTGTGGATGTCGCCACTCCTGTACTTGCTGTTCTCTCCGCAACTGAGTTGGCTGCTGCCAAAGCTGTGAATGTCGACCTCTCAGTGGTCAGTTTGCCCAGGTACAATGCGGTGAGTGGAAAATTTGTTCGCCCTCCCGAAGGTTTCTGGCACTAGTCGTACCATGCGTTTGTTCTCGGCTAATGCAGTTGGATCGGAAGGAACATTCGGTTCGCGTCTGATGCCTCACGGTGCTTACTCTGCAAGCCCTCGACCATGACCCTACTTGTTGTCCGCTGTCGTCAGAGCCCATCTCGCTCGCAATCCTGGACTGCCTGCTCGGTTTACTAATTTTGCTATGTCCTGAGTTTTTATTTTTTATGTTTCTGTTTTCTTTCTCTATTCACGAGGGCGTGAATTTTTGGTAGGAGGAGGATAGTGTAGCATGGCTACTTTATGACACGTATTTGTATACACATAAATAGTACACCGTAGGAATGCATGGATAGCAGTGCGCATACTCGCACTGCCTTGTCTTCTTCTTCTCCTTGTGAGACAATGAACGAATGATAACTACTTACGTAACAACAAGTATGATTGTGCTTTGAGTGCTGAGAGTATACGAGTTACACATGCAGCCTCGTGAAATCGACATCAAATTCACACCTCTGCGTGCTCGAGTAAACAAGAGCTCAGAGTTCAGCATGGACCAGTGCACACCGAGTTACGACTACTCTGCCGGAGCAACAGCAAGACGCAACTTGGATCCTGGTCACAGCACCAAATGTCATGGCCGCGCTTGGCGGGTTTGTGACTTGGCTTAGATCAGCCTAGTGGCTACCCAGGTAGACGACCAATATAGTCGCCATCCAAGTTGCTAGCTCACACCTGTTTTCCGGCTCACACAAGGTAGTCGAAGGTTGAAGGGGAGCGATCAAAGATACTTTTATTCGTTGGAAGAAGGCGGCTTTTATGTGATTTTGGTTACCGTATTATCTCTAATATAAGCACGGTCCTTTATTTTTTCAATGTACCTCCGACCCGTGCTATTAAGGGAGACGTTCCTTTATTGGAGACTGTTCCATTATTATTTCAACCTCATTTCAGAGGCATGTTGCCATGCCAAATTCATGTATGACACACACATTTCAGGGTTTTTTTCGCCGGTACAGATAATGAATGTACACAGTGTGCTTATAATGGAGACTGAGCACTTTATTTTTTGAATGCCGCCCCAAGGTGTTCTATTATTGGAGACGTGCTATTATTGGAGACTGTGCTTATATTAGAAATAATACGGTATAGTATAATCGTGATATAATAATTAGTAGGAAATATTTACTGTATAGCTTAGGGGAGCTCGCTCACCCACATTACATGAAAGAGTTACAAAATTAATATGAGTGATGTCCGTGGTTATTCGTACGTCGATCGTGCGACGGAGCCTGGAGTATGCTGTCGGATGTTGCCGCAGCTAGAGCGCGCCGCCTTCGTACGGTGTCTTGATTGGGTCACCCTTCATCTTCTGCCCCGTAGGCTCTTCCCTCTCATTACCCCATAGGGCGCTGCACGGTCAAGCCGCGGCCTCTCCCAAAAAGGGATAACGGAGTCCGCAGTGCGCGAAACACTTGCCGGACCCTTTACGTCGTACGACGCGAGAAGAGGTGCCATGCTTGCTCGACTAACAAAGGTACAGGTCGCCCCCCGTTAATACGAGTCCGGTTAGTACATAAACCCCGTTAGTACATAAGAAATATCAAGTCCCGGACGAAACGTGGTCACTTCCATACAAATTTTGTCGGTTAGTACATAATTCGTTAGTACATAAACCCCGTTAGTACATAACATTTTTCCGTACCCGGATGCCACCTACCTCAATAGTACATAATTTGTTGGTCTTTTGGCCTACTTGTGAACGCAATTAGCTCAGAAATCAGAGCGCACATCACAAACCGACAAAGCTCTGTTTTTTTTCGAGTGACTGTAGCTGTACAGGCGCGGCTGGACATGTATCACGTAAACTGTAGAATCTTTGCTGACTGTGACCGTTATAACATAATTTTTTTTTATGTTATATCGAGGGAATCAAGAATATCTCGCTCTCTAGTCATGGTAGCCAGAAACGCTCAGAAAAGTTGAAAAAAGTGAAAAATTCTGGTACACAAGCAAGTTATGTACACTTTCGTTTAGTACATAAACCCCATTAATACATAACATTTCTCAAGTCCCAGAGATTATGTATTAACGAGGGACGACCTGTATCAGCTCCCTTGCAGGACTAAGCTGGGTCCCCTCAAGCTCAACAGTGTAGTGAGTACAATGCTGATGACTTGTACTGAAGGTGTAGCCGCCGTACGACAACACTTGTGACTCGCGGCCACGAGTTGTAAGCCATGATTGCTCAACTAACGAAAGTGCTAAATCCTTCGCAGGACTAATCATGGTTCTTACAGAACTCTAGAATATTTCGGAGCCCAGCTTTTAGCTGCTGAATCTCATTGCGTGGTCGCTTTCACGACGAGTCGAGTCCGGGTCATGACACACGTATTTCTCGTAACACATCAATTCTTACTTCGTAGGTGTTTAGTTCCGGTCTTGCGTGACAGAGGTAGTTACTCTTAGTTAGCTGTCTCCATGATTGATTCTAAGAAACGCGGACATTGATTCTAGCTTCGAACTGTTTCTTCTTTGTCTGCCTGTGCATTTTGTTCTCAAACAAATCCTTCGTTCAATAGGGCTTGAAAGTGCTACGTCACTCCATAACAATGGCATAGCAACAATTTGAAAAATTCGAAAACTGGATCCACCTGGATCCAGTTTCTGTATGGATCCAAGCACATTTCAAGCGGTCTCACTCACAGCAAGGTGATGGTGCCAGTGAAACTGACTGATTTGGCTAGTGGGGGCGGGGTGACAACTGGTGTTGAAGTAAAAGTTGCACCTGCATACGACATGAGTGGGTTGCTATGCACCCACATACTGAGGCAATAGCAAAGTCACACCTTAGTGGATCCAAAATAGAAATCTGATGTCAATTTACTACTCCCAGGCCGTTTTTGACGTCATCACTTTCAAGCCCTATGTGTTTATATTTCCGCGCTCTGCAGATTTGTTTGCCTCGCGCTCAGCTTTGTTTCCTTTTCTTTGTCAACTGCATTATTATGACGTATGACTTGTGTACGCACTTATCACGTGACCGTTTGACTGTATGCGCTATGCACGCCCTAGGCTAGTGCATTTGAGCGATCGTAGCGATCCGCTTTTTTTGACGTTTCGTCTTCTCCGCTTCTTTACTCATTCAAGTCAGTGTCGCTGCACTAGTTTGTTTTGCAGTTTATCCACGTCACAGTCGTTCATGGTCGCCATCTTTACATTAAATTTTGATTTTGATGCGCAGCTGCATGCTGATGCAGCTGCCTTTTTCATTCTTTCGATGATCTTCTTTCCAATTTTATACTGAATCTACTGTATGTATTCTCTCACCCAAGTTTGCAACGGTTGTCGGTTGTAGCATGCCAAAGGTTGGATGCAGGGGTGGTTAATTAAGCTGGTAGTAGTAGTAACAATTCAGTAACAACCATCAGTATGTGTGGCACGTGTTGTGAGCTGCCTTTGGAGTGAAATATTTCTCAGCGCGTTCTAGGTTCAGCCTGGTCACATAACTGAGTGGTTAGAGCATTGCTCATAACAATCAAGGTCCCGGGTTCGAGTCCTGGTGGGCCTAGCGTTTCTCTTTTCAGGCAGTTCACTTCCCCGACTGATCCTTTTAAATATCCATCAGCACTCGAGAGAAGGCCAGAGATTGGCATCCACCGAGCTAGCATCCAGCAAATCAAGGACCTTGCGGCAAAGCTGCCGAGCCAAGGAGAGCATTCTTTTGCAATTCAGACACAGAGCAGTAGCTGGTGATACCGATGGTGTCGAGGTATCCTCGCAACTGTTTGGAAACAGTGCCTAAAGTCCCAACTTCCACAGGAACAATCTGAGTCTCAACTTGCCATAGCCGATGGATTTCGCGAGCAAGAAGTTGATACTTGGCACGTTTCTCAACTTCCTTTTCAGCAACGCGTGGATCACCAGGTACAGCTATGTCAATGAGGAGGGCCTTTTTGATTTGTTATTATTACTACGATACCGCGTAGCTTTTGTCATGTTCCAAAATCATATTTGATGTGTCTTACTAACAATCTCCGAGCATTATGTGAGCATTATAATTATGCGTCCTTTTTAGGGCATTACAAAAGCATTATATAAATCATTAAATAGTGAAAAGCCGTGAAAAGAGCATTACCCGCTGACCCATATTCACAGTGCTTCTGGCTCATGCCGACCGCTTCTAGCCAGCTGCCACCTCTGGAATTCCCAACTGTATGAAGTCGATACTCGATAGTATCTGCCCGTGAGTTTAAGCGAATGTTATGCGTATTTTACTTCGGATTAATTATGTAATGGCTTTTGAAACCTGCTAATGAGACGCGAGAGAATCATGCTTCGATGACCCGACTTGTATGAATTGGAGATCTCTGTTCTGCTTGTCTTACCTTGCCTCTACTCACTGCTATTTCCATTGATATTTTTTGTGTTTACTTTTCTTCACTTCCTAGTCTTCGTACCAGTCATCACTTTCATACTATTGGGCAGAACTGCCCGTTTGACATGCTATGTAAAATATATAAACAACAACAGCAATCTGTTTGGTTAGCTGGGGTTACAGATGTTCCCGATCCCACTACTTTCTCTCTTCATTTTTATTGTTAATTTCTCATCCTTTTGCATTTTACATCTTCTTTTTCGTCAACCGGTATTCCTGGTGTGTGCTCTATCTCAACATGCAGATACTTGGACCATAACAGGATCAGAGAATTACCGCAAGGAGGATTTCACTCTATGTGTCATCTGGAACATCTGTGAGTTATACAAGTTTTTGTTTGGAAATTCCATGCATTCTGAATTACATGTACTATTTGTTGTGAATCTGTATAATGCTTGTCATGATTGTCTGAATCAATTTACTGCATCTTTACCCCTCTCATGTCACATCTGCTACTTCAAATGCTTTGTGCTGCCTGAGTTTCTGTATGCATCCAATGCTTATGCCCCATATCTATCTGTTCACCAGGAGCTCCGTCTGGAAAGGCTCTTCAAGTGCGCACTGCGTGCTGTATGTAAAGTGCCCCCATGGACCCCCACTGTTATGCTGCTTAAGCGTGTCCATGTCTCTCCCTTGCGCGCTACCATTCAACTTAACTTGCTCTGCTTTACATGTATATGGCGTTGTCTAAATTCTTCAGGAAGTAGGTTGTTTGAAAGTCCCGAAGAACACGAAGAGGCAACAGTAACCTGCTTATCATCCCTGCCGCTGCTTCTGCACATTCTACCAAATTGGTGACACATGCGGATATCCGAGGCGTCACCAAACTGGCCGCCTTCAAGTCAAGCGCTTTGCAACACATTCTTGCCTGCTTTTCGCTTTACGCCCATGTTTCTGTAGCTGTGCTGGAACTGCACTATTTCGCCGCCACTATTTACCATTAGCCATGTCTCCCCCCCCCCCCTCCTTCACCACCCTACCCAGTGGGTCCATTGTTATCAGGCATCTGCCTGTTTTGCTTTCTCCACTATTTATATCAGGGAGTAGTACTACTCCTTGATATAAATAAAAGAATGCTACTGTAAACCGTGAAATTATTGCCATGGTCTAATTTCTGCGAAACTCACGACCGAGTGGAAATCGCGAAATTTAGACAGCACGAAAAGGAGATCCATGAAAGGTTTAGCAAGAATGCCACAGGTTTAGCAAGAATGCCATTCTGCAATCGCAAAATTAATACCTCGCAAACCTGTCCGGATTCTGAAAACGCGAACTAAAAACGCCACGAACATTTCACGCTTTACAGTAGTAATACTACCTGAAGGGCTTGTGAAATGGTCTAACACAAGCTCTAGTTTTTCTGGAGCACTGTATTTGTTAAAGGGGTAAAAAGAACAGTTACTTCGAAGTACGTTTGACATGTTTGTGCTTCTCAATCTCATTTCAGGTACCTTGAGTACAACTCACTAACCTCTCTACCGTCTGGGGTATTTGACAGGCTTTATTCACTGAGCAGCTTGTAAGTTTGTCCTCATACACACCGGCCAATGCCTCTAAAATGACAAAACATGGCCAAGTTTCCGATTTTGTTGTTGTATACTTTATTTATAGTGGAAATCAAAACAGGCAAAATGCCTAATAACATTGGACCCACTGTGAATGACATGTTAAAGGATATTGTGGAAAAGTAGATACAAGAGAAAAAGAGAAAGGAAAGAAAAAATGGAAGGTTGGTTGCAACGAACAGATATCAATCCAGTGAGCATTGGAAAACCTATGTCGCTGATAATATATACTGCAAGGCTTGAGATTTAAAATCCAAATACCTATTTGAACATTTTGCTGCTGGTGGCAATCTATTCCACATAATGGCTCCAGCGTGCGTTAGGCGCTTAGCAGAACGAGCAGTGCTAGCAGGTGGGACCACAAGCAAGTTGCTTTGGCCTCCTCGAGTGCGAGTTGAGGGCACGACAGCAAAAAAGGACTGAAATAGGGTGCTACATGCATCATGCAAACATCGCCAGATGAAACAAAACATATCCAAGTGCACAGAAACCTGTAGATCACATACATGCATTCGATTTAGCAGGGGAGCAGTACTGGTCCATGGTGGCGACTTACAGACTGCCCGAGCGGCACGTTTGAACAGCCTATGTAGCCGTTGTTCCTGAGCAACTGACAAATACGGGTAGTAACTAAAAGAAGAATACAAAAATTCAGGCATAATGATAGATCTGAAGTAGGTGAGTCGGCATGGATATGGCAACGAGGAAGCATGTCGCAGCAGGATAGCAGTTTTGCCGGCAACATGACGAGCAACATGGTCCACCATTGTGGTCCAACTCATGTCCGAGTCAAAATGCAGGCCAAGGTATTTGGCAGATGTGACTACTGGTAGGACTTGTGAATTGCATACAACATTGATGTCGAGGGCTGCAGCTCTTTGGTGTGGTATGGCGAGTATCTGCGTCTTGGTCTCGTTAAGGATCAGTCCACGTTTCTTCAACCAAGTGGCCAGGTACTGAACTGCTGCAGTGAGGCCCTGGGAGACAACTTCTGGCTGTGGACTGCTCGCACGCAGCGAGATGTCATCAGCAAACTGAATAGTGGTGACGTCATGAGGGGCAAGGTCGCCGGCAATATCCCTCACATACAGAACGAAGAGCAAAGGTCCGAGAACTGACCCTTGAGGAACCCCTGACCGGCTGTCATAAGTTGTACTTCTGGTTTTTCCTGTCTCCACGTATTGCCGGCGATACAGCAAGTAGTCTGAAAACCATTTCAAAGCAATGCTAGTGAGACCCAGTTCAAAGATGTCCTCAACCAGAATGCTATGCTTTACCTTGTCGAAGGCTTTCGACATGTCGACAAATGCTACTCCTGTGTGCTGCCCGGCGGCTTGTGCTTCATTGATGTTCTCTACAGCTAGCGCTAAGGCATCTGCTGTGTAATGCTGGTGTCTGTAACCAAACTGACTAGTAGGCAAGAAATTGTTCGTGTTGACGTACTGCAGAAGCTGCTTATGAACAATACGTTCAAGAACTTTCGACACTATCGGCAATAGGGAGACTGGTCGGTAATTCTTGGGTTGGCTGGGGTCTCCAGCCTTGAACAGAGGCCGTGTCTTACCCACCTTCATTGCCGCAGGAAACTGTCCTTCTCTCAATGACTTATTAAATAGTAGCGTGAGTGACGGTGCCAGGATGTCAGCATGCATCTGGAGGAGAATTGCTGGAATATCATCACTCCCAGTGGCTTTTCCGGTGTCCAACTGTACCAACATTTTCCGGGTAGTTGCAATGGAGACTGGCGAGAATTCCGAGAAGTGTACCGCAGGTGGAGGCCCAAGGGGTAGGCGTAGCTGTGCAGGGCGAACTGGATCTTCCACAACTTTCGAAAAAGTGTCTCGAATCGCATCCACCGTGCACTGTGGATCCCTGTACGTCGACTGTTTGCCTGTCAACTCCTTGATTATTTTCCAAGTCCCTCTGGCATTTCCAGTACATTGCTGATTTCGCTCTAAAGTTGGTTCCTTTTACCCCTGGATGTCATTCACCCATTATGAGATTATGAGTCTGTTACTCCACTACTATGCTCTCTGTCTCTTCCAGCTGGCACTCCAGCACACTCACACATGCACTGAGCCACAACTATCAACAAGGAATCAAGAGAGTTGAAATATTGAAATAGTAGTAAAGTTGGGAGAAAAGAAAACTGCTCTTTTTCCACGAGATCCAAGATCTATCAGGAAAAAGGACATGCACAAAATGGCGACTATGTCGTCCATTGACACGTAATCATGGTAATCACAAACTAGTGCAGCGACCAAAGAAAAGACACAAGTGAAGAAGAAGAAACCGCGCTGCAGCAAGAAGATCAAATCGCTGCAGTCGCTAAAATGCACTAGCCTACTGACTGTAGTTCCACGCGAGCATGCAGTCACGTGGTCATAAACATAGTGCGTACACACTCACGTCATACCGATACGTCATACATGGCACAAGAAAAGAAAGGAAAGTCACGCGCGAGTCAAACAAATCAAAGAGCGCAAGACTGCTGCAAATACAGGTACTACGAGGAATTTGTTTGAGAACAAATGCACAAGATGAGGAATTGTTTTGTATTTTGTATTTATATCATTATCTCATGACACATCATGAGGACGGCCAGTAAAACTGAGACAAGGGTGAAAGCCAACCACAGCAGTAAAACAGATAAAAGAATACCAATAAAAGGCAAAGAAGGCAAAGGAGGAGACAAACCAGCAGTTTGTTTCAGAACAAATGCACAAGAATATGAATCTCTTCGAAACTAGAATGGAGTCTGTAGTGAGAATTATTAGAGAAGCTAGGGAACTAGAACTCGGCGGAGAATTTGGCTAACTATTCCAAAGAGCCTGGAGTCAGCTACAAAGTAAGAATACAATCAAATTGTCGTCGGGGGGTTTTAATCCTCGCACGATAGCCCTTCAGATTACTCTCGATATCTCATATCACACGTACGCCACACTCAGAGGACAGATTATCATTGTTGTTCCAAGGAGAGTCTCAGGAAGAAGGCACCCAAAACAACCAGAATGCGCACGATAAGCATGCAAGCATGCGCACAACAACAAGAACATGTACGATAATCATGAAACCGGCGCAGTCCGCGCGCGGTCCGCACCAACGTGCCAAAAGGGGCACACACGTGCCAAAAGGGCAGGGACAACAAAATAACTAATATCGTCAGAACTATTTTAACAGTACAAGCAGTCGATTTACCAGATGACAGACCCTTCGACTAGGGGACTATACCCGTAAAATAAAATAATAATAATAATAAATAATCGACGCGGAGACAACAATTTTATAATAGCTATTTTATAATATTATAATATATATAATATTATAAAATAATAATAATGCAATTAGGAGTATAATAGATGCAGACATGGCCAGACAACAACGAGTTCATGGAATTTTTAAGGATTTTTATGTTATTCAAAATCGATTTTCGTGTTCCGCTCATCAGTGAATAGTATCGGAACTGAGGGTACTGTGTACAAAAATAGAACATTTTATAACAGCATAATTAATTAAAAGTGTGAACAACAAAGGAAGTGCTACAGCATTACATAATAGGTGTCAAACATTGTTGTCTGGCCATGTCTGCATCTATTATACTCCTAATTGCACTAATAAAATTGCTTTCTCCACGCCGACTCTTTAAATAATAATAATAATAATACTTTAAAACGAAGGTAAGTTATGAGTCGCAAGTATCCACGCAAACACACATCCAGTCATAATAAGGCACTTGTCATAAGTATACGAACGTTTTCGGTCCCTTCTCATCAAGGATTATACAGGGAATGGCTCAAGTTGGAAAGACTAAAACTTATATATCGTAAAGATAATTAGATAACAACACTCGTGACAAGGTGAAACATTATCAAGTTTAGCATGATACAAAACTCGAAGGAAAATAATAATAGTGACAACAACATAACATTCCCTGTATAATCCTTGATGAGAAGGGACCGAAAACGTTCGGATACTTATGACAAGTGCCTTATTATGACTGGATGTGTGTTTGCGTGGATACTTGCGACCCATAACTTACCTTCGTTTTAAAATAATAATAATAATAATACTCAGATGTTGAGCCAATAATAAATGTAGAAAGGTAAAATACATATGGTTATGAGTTCAGTGTAACTCTCCATCACTGTAACCAGATACAATATACAGTCAGAAAGTGCAACAACTAGGCACAAAACTGACAGAGTACTGACACATACGACGTCCTGACACCTAGCTTCACACATCTCCGTAGCTCATTTTCGTTGCGCTTACCTTCCCCTCTTTGGTCTTTCCATAACTTTGAACCTTCCGAGTTGTGCCTGGTCCTCGGTGATTGCCGTGCGTTAACGAAGCCTCTCTCCAGTTACGGATTATGGACAATGACGAGTGGAGGGAACAGCGGGTTGAAGGCTATTCCTACTAATAGGGGCAAAAAGGAGAGGGGCACAGAATAGACGTCGGCGGATAATGCTCGAAAATCACACGGATTATGCTTTTCAGTATGCTGGCACTATGCTCTGAAAACCACTAAAATTATCCTCAAATTATACTTCATGACACTGTGCTCTTTCATGTTTATAATGCCACTAAAATGTGTAGAATGTGTACTCGGGATGAAATGCGGACTTCCGGAGAAAAGTGCATGGAAGAAGATGAAGATCTAGTCTCAGCTATGGAGAAGGGACCAGGATACAGCAATAGGCACTGCAACATCAATACAAGCATAATTATGTAGAAGGCAGCAATGCCTGTACCTATGGTGAAGTAAAATAAAGGTAACATAACATAACATGTACAGAAATAATAGAATATAATGCAGAGTCACTGCGCTACAGTGACTTATGCATGACACTGCATTGACAACATGACTTCAGATATGCATTTGGGAGAATGATGTGCAAGAAATTATTTGAAAACAATAACAGAAATACCAGTCGAACAGTGGCAGCTTTGGCTGCTGGAGAAACCACATCCTACATGCATGTACTGATGTACTCTGGACGGTGAACTTTTGACCTTTGACGCCCTAAACATTACACATCGGTTACATTTACAGTGTAGATCAGGCCCTTTCACGGAGCCGTGCCAGATATAATAATAACAATAATATGATGATCGTAGTAATACGTGAAACTCAGAGTTGTAACAAAGCTTCCAAGCTCTCTCTCTAGTCTTGTGTAATAATAATTATAACTTTATTAGGATGACCCAAAGGCAAATCACCTATCGAGGGGTTGAATGGTTGTGGTATGACAAAGCAAAGAGGCAACCATTGTGTGTGTGGGGGAGGGGGGGGGGGGAATTTCGAACTATGCACAGTGAAGGAATGACTGAATGAACATGACCAAGGTTAGGGTATACCGGACAAATATAATTATACCGTGGTATGGTACGACTCCCTGCCGAGTCTTGGATGTAGATCTATTTCTAGGAGGATTCCTTTGCCTTTGTAACAAACAACAAACAAACCAAAAAAACAGACTCTGGACGGTGAACTTTGCCCTTCGAGGCCCTAGCAGTTTTATGCAGCAGTTATGCTGAAGGATCAACTATGCTCGGCAATGCTATTTTTCAGAAAGCCGTGATTATGCTCAAAATTATGCCGGCATTATCCGCCGATGACTAGCACAGAACCATAGCGTGAGGTGACAATGGGGTGAACTGTATGTAAGCCCTTTGAGTTGTGGCAGCGAGTGTGGCGTCCAGGGGCAGCAGCTGAGTGGAGAACAAACATCTGGCAGAGAAGTGGGTTTGCTTTGTTTTAGACGCAACGATGGACGAAAATGTAAAGCTTCATGTTAAAGGAAATGTCAGTGGTTGTAGTGTATGACGGCTGATGATGGGGGATGTGTCAGCCGTGCGGGGGAATCCAAAAACAACTCTTAATGCACGACTCCTGATGTCAAGTAAGTCATTGTACTCACCGACATGGGTAGTGTGTACGTATTCATTGCTGCTGTATTCCAGGGTGGATTGAATGAAACACAGATTAAAAAAGTCTGGTTGGCCATGACCAGCAGAAGGCATTCAGCGTGGCGCCAACATTCTTCCGAATAGATTCAACCTGAAGGCGGAAGGAAAGGTGTTCGTCTATCTGGAGGCCCATATATGGGACAGAGTCGCTGTTAACGGTGGTGGCGCCAAACCTCAGCTGGCAGATTGGTATCAGGCTTTTGGAGAGTTCCACTTGGCAGTCGCTCCCTACTCACTTCAATAACTGATCACTGACAAGACTAGTAACCATCTCCTTTCCCTCTGCTTCTCTATTTCAGTCTAATCCCTCACAACCACAACCCCACTCCCCAAACTGGCCAAATCACTGGACAGTAGACATTCCTGAACAGATGGGTGTGAACTGGTACACTGTGACTCTCCTTATTTGCCTCATTGTTATTGGATATATTTGTCAGTTTTGGTCAGTGAATCAAAATTAAATCAACAACACCCTCCTCGGACAAAGACCGTTCGACTCAGCGACCCAAACTCTTCGAAACCTGAAAGTTTCATGTTCGCAGGACTTCGCCTTTAACCTACATTCCCGCAATCTCTAATGTACTGTTGTGGCTCTGATGTGCTATTAACCTGGGGTTAAATCTATTTCCAGGAGTTGTTGCAGTCAGTTTTCAGTGAAATATGTACAGTCAACTTCGCTAATAACGACTGCGGATATAACGACAATTCGCGAATAACGACAGAATTTCCATGCCCAGTGCACCTGCCTTGCCGTGGTTGGCTAACACCCTCTCTCTTTGCATTGGCCGGTGTTCTCACTGTGCTATGAGATGCTGTAATAAATAAATAAATAAATAAATAAATAAAGTCCCGTCTAACTGTGTCTAATATACGATAAGTTGACTGTACTTGAGTAGTTGTAATTCACCACACACAATCATCATAGTATTATTCAACGTCCATTTACACTAAATTTTACAGGTCTTGTGTCACGTAGTGAAAAATCGCAAAAGATTGTTGATCAGGCCATAAGGTTTCCCTGTATTTCTGTTTGGTTTATAGACGTTTATCATTTAACCAACTAACAACCCTACCTCAAGGCCTGTTTGACGACTTGCCATTAGCATCCTTGTAAGTGTGACTAGAGTATTTCTCCTACGGTTGTTGTTGTTGTTGAATTCTTTTATTCTCACGATGGCCTGTGGCCAATAAGAGAAAAATAATTACAGGCAGGGGTTGTTGTTGTTGTTGTTGTTGTTGTTGTTGTTGTTGTTGTTGTTGTTGTTGTTGTTGTTGTTGTTGTTGTTGTTGTTGTTGTTGTTGTTGTTGTTGTTGTTGTTGTTGTTGTTGTTGTTGTTGTTGTTGTTGTTGTTGTTGTTGTTGTTGTTGTTGTTGTTGTTGTTGTTGTTGTTGTTGTTGTTTCAAATCTTTATTCTCACGATAGCCAGTGGCCAAAAAGAGATAATAGTGTAAGAAAGGAGAAAGAGTGAGGAAGAATTGGGTGGGCAGGGCCTAGGGGTTAATGACTACTTAAGTATACGGGCAGGGGTGGTCGCCACACGAGCATACAGAGTTGTGTGCTTAAGTGTACGGGCAGGGGTGGTCGCTACACGAGCATACAGAGTTGTGCAACAGCAGGGATATCTCGGATTTGAACCACAGCACCATATGGGACACACACAGACACACACACACACACACACATGCACGCGCACACGCACACTTGTACTTGTACTTGTTGCTCACTGCCAAAACTGGTCACGTGGGTCTCCCCGGGAGAGGGGAGAGAGACTCAAAAGTAATCTGGGAAAGATGACTCAGTTGGCTATTGAACCGCCCAACGGCCGACACCCCCTGAAATCCCCAAAACTCTGGGTGGACTTGAGAATGATCCCACTTATGGGCTCACCACACCTCAGTAAGTGGGTGAGGACGAGGTGCAGGAAAAGGATTGACGGCATCAGGGTATCCGCCCCGGGATCCAACTGCAGTTACCCCTGCCCCCAGTGAAGGTAATACTTGCTACTAGTGTGGGTGGCTAAATCAGAGCGGATCTGATACAAGCTTCACTAGCAACATGATTACACAAGACTTAATCTAGCCAGAAGTAGTCCATGGTTAACAGGTATGTATACTTCAAATAGAAAGTATATGTAGGACTCAGTATAGAGTCCATGCACTATATGATGTCCAGCACCCTATATAGAGTCCATTGGTCCAAAATCCACTACATGTATACAGAGTCCAGGAGTCCCCTCAGTTTTGATCAGCTTCATCCTGCCGCGCAATCCCCTATAAGGAGTACACTTTTTCTACAAGTCCCCTATTCACAGTCCAGGAGTCCAGTTTACCCAGTCACGCCGTCCTGTGTGTTGTGCCCGAAAGAGAACAAACACATTTTCAGTTTTGCTTGCCTCGTGGCAGCGCATTCCTTTCTTCACTTCAGCCATGGCTGCCAATTCTGCTGTGCAGTTGCTGACAGTAATCTGTCTCGAGGTAACCAAGGAGGATAAGGAGACGTTCAAAATCAAATCTGGAAAGCGTCTTGTGGTTCTTTGAAGACGTTTCATCAGTGCGCGGGATGAAAGCAGAAATTGCAGAACGAGAAAAGTTCAGCACAGTTCAAATCTGACGAGTTAGGTACACTGACGCTCTCTTTCGTTAGACGCCACAAGGATCCCCTTTTTGGCTGGCCATTGCTGCCAGTAAGACGTTTGAACGGTTTCATCAGAGCGAGGGATGAAAGCAGAAAGCGGAGAAAGAGAAAAGTTCAGCACAGTTGCAATCTGACGAGTCAGATACACTGACACTCTCTTTCGTTCGACGCCACAAGGATCCCCTGTTTGACTGGACAAGAGCTGCCTGTACCACCGTGTCAAAAGGCTGTCCAACTACTTGGCAGGACGATGACTGAGGTAAGGAAGCTTTTACTCGTTTCGATTGGTCTGCTGTTCTGTCGTTATGCTTGAATTTTTTTTCCATTTTCAAGGAGCGTATCGCGTTTGTTTGATGTTGCTTGAATGAATGCCCTAAAAGTTATCAACCACTTCGTAATAGTCCTCAAGGACTGCAAGGACTTTGCATCAATCGTATTATGATCGTCTAGCTATCATCAATTATTATTTTACTTCATGAGAAATGTATTTTTATCCCTGTGATAATTATGTGAACTCCACGACACTCTTCTCGTAGTATGATGTCAAATACAATGGGATCCACAAACGCAGTGCCAGTGTACTAGTAGTAGTAGTAGGACTAGGAGGATTGCTTGTATGCCAATGACAAGAAAAAGCTTCTCAAGCTAATACTCGTATTCCCTGAAGTAACCGTTTTGATGTCATGAACATGACATTGTGTCAGTGAAACTGTCTCGTGACAACAAATCATTGCATTTCCATCTTGGGGAAGACCGTGACTGACAGCAACGCTGTACAGATTGTTCAAATCATCTCATTTGAATTTAGTTGCAGTGAAGTGAAACACTGTGTACACTACATGTATGTTTTTTTGTTTTGTTTTTTTTTTTGTTTTTTCACGGCCAAAGTTTATAATACCAGAAAAATAATAATATGTAGCGCAAAATAAAGAGAAGGAAAATAATAACCGGTCAAGCGCTAAATACAAACAGAAGAAAAAGAAATCATAAGCCAATACGCGCTAAACTGCGCTTAAATTATAATGAAGGGAGAAAAACTGGAATCCGCGGAAATTATAACATACAAAATGATACAGAGAAAAGGGGAAACAGACAGGTTGTCTACAGATGACACTCGGAGACAGCAAGTGTGGCAGAATATGCATGAGGGTCATACCTGCTCGACTTGTGGCGATGCCCACGAAGGCATGCCACGGCCGCCTTCACGAGAGCAAAGGACAGCTGGGCTCTGATCAAAGCCATTGCCACAGAGAAAGGCTCACCATTCTTCTCAGACTTGATGCCTGCAATGCGGCCAAAGAGAGTGGAGGCTGCCTGCCCTTGGCCACCAGTCGTACTGAACACCACGGGGATGAAGGAAGCGTGCTCAACGTTGAGAATGCGACTCTCATAACTCCTCCGTTTCTCCTCTTCGTGCTTTCTGTAGCTGCCAGCGATCGTTGGTTTCCGATTTGAGGGGGCAAATGGGTTGAAAACCCGGACATCTAGAAAGGTCCTCTCAAACCGTCCACCGTGTAGACCGCTGACAACTACATCCAGCCGAGCTTGTTCTGCCGTGATGGTGGACCGCAGCGGAAAGCGCTCACCGGTCACAGGCTGGAGGTGCGGCTCAACATGAACATCATGTGCGACGTCGCGTAGCAGTGCTGCTGTTAGGTCTCGGACCTCGTTGTGCCGTAACGAGGGATAACCACCGATGGCACATGACATGGCATGGGTGGTGGAGAATGGCTTTCCACACGCGCATGTTGCCGGTAAGCGATCAGGATCCCATCCATACCTGAGGCATATGGCATCGCGGAAGGCGCCCTTGTGCAGGGTGAAGCCATGCCTTCGCAATGGCCGACATGTCAGCCAACTTGAGGCGCCTTTCTCCGAGGCAAGCTGTAGGGTGCGTTGCAGGTCTGGCTCGAGTTGGGCCATCAGGGTGACGACATGGTCCTTCTCCTTCTTCCCAGCGGCTGTCCTAGCTGTTGCCTTCAGTACCCGCATCCGCCCTGAGATGCCTTCCATGGATGACTGCTGTTGGATGATGTTGTCAATGAGTGGATGGGTGATGGACAGAGAGCGCTGATGTTCATCGCTCAGCTGACTGGGGTTAACAATACCGAGACCACCGAGACGACACGGAAGGTCAAGCACAGCGCGGATCACCGAATTCGGTGGGTGACGCCCTGTCAATGCCGGAATGAAATCATTGCGGATCACATCCTCAAGTGGCTGTAGCAGATCTGCTGCTCCAGGTACAGTACGAACCAGAAATGACCATTTGTGCTTGAGGCCTTGGCTAAATGCAGTGTAGGCGGCTTGCGGTTGGCTAAGTGCATAGGTTGCGAGGCGCTTGACTTCTTTGCACCATTGCTCTGCCTTTTGAGCGACGTACTGATTGCAATACTGCTCTGTGCCCAGGACAGCTCCAAGATGTCGGTGACCGTCCGCGGTTACGCGAACTTCAGTGTCGGCGAACACTTCTCGCGCGATGTTGAGGAACTGTGGTTTGACGAGTAACACAGACTTTGCAGCATTCGTATAGTAGCCGTAAGCTGGACCACGCGTTTCCAGGATAGACCACCATTCTCTGAGACGAATTATCTTACTTGCAGCTGTAGAATCATCAGCGTACCACGCTTGTACGGCGTTGGCTGCAGCGGCTTCGCGGATTAATGGCAACGTCCCTAGAGCATACATCACCATGGCGAGGGGATCCCCCTGCGTTGTGCCCTCAGCAGACTGAAGGGTCTCCCCGTCGACAAACAGCTTTGCGGGCTGTCGGTACGTGTTGGTAAGGACTACGGCGAGTGCGGGACATAGGTGTTGAACATTCAGGAGACACACAGAACGGTTTAAGCGATTGAACGCGTTGGAAGCGTCTGCAAAGAGAATACCCTCTGTGTCGTCCTGCTGGAAGATTTCTCTCATGGCATGGATTGCTGCCTCTATGCCTGACTCTTGGCCCCCACAGAGCTGGAGACAGCCGACCGACTGGATTATGTCAGCCTTGGTGACTTTGAGGATGGCTTTGCTGATAATCCGTCGCACAACCTCACCGACACCAATCGGCCTGACTCCGGGGTCCTTATCATGTATGTTGGTGTGTCTGTGCGTCTTGAGTGTGCCCAAACGATCTTATTCCTCATATTACTAATAGATTATTGTCCCCACCGTCACCTGTTCGCAGGTCTTTGAGTGGGTTGATTTTCATTGAGCATCACATTTGCCGGTTGAAAACTTGGTAGTTGTGTGCTCCAATGCATCATTACGGTAATAAGCATATCCTTGTGCTATCTATTTGTTGCAGGTGTGCTGATCTTCAGAAGCTTGCGGAACTGAGTGCTGCTGAACATTTGCATGGCCATGAGAAATGGTGAAGCTTGCTATTGCACTCTCAGCATGTGCTAGTATTATGCTGACCACTGCACTATGTTACTCTCTTACACTACTACGTGTATGGAAACGTGCGTGTACCCGTCCCCGTATGCATTCGTTTCGTATAATTATTTGTTATCCCTCTTGACTTTACGTGTAAATGGGTGGACGTTTGCATGGCTGTTGGAGTTGCGTGTGTATTGTGTCTCTACTCTTTTCTTGGTGTTTTCTTGGCGTTGTATAAGTTTGTGTGTGTGTGTGTGTGTGTGTGTGTGTGTGTGTGTGCGCACGCGCGCGCGCGCGCGCAATAGTTTGAAAACAAATAATTAATCCTGGGCTCTCCATTATTCTCTTTCGATTCTTGTTTTTTTTCTAGGTATTTTCTTGGCGTTGTGTGGGTGTGTGCATGTGTGTGTGTGCGTGCACAATAATTTGGCAACACTGCATGATTGAGATATTGTAATTTGCAGCGTCTGCGAAAGAGACCACTTGATTTGAGGATGGTGTTTGTAGGGTTTTTCATGTAGTGAAGTGGCTGCAGTGGCGCCTCAATACATATTTATCTTGAGAAGTGAATGATGTGAAGGATTAAAGGGAGAGGCGGTTTTCTGGTTAATATTCACTGCTTACAGCAGATCCTATGTCGAACTCGATACACTCATTGCCGAAGATGCGTTGCCATGGTGCAAAAATGGCGTTGGATGGCTACGCCTGAGCGCTCGCGCTGTCATCGCAGCCCACGACACGTCTTCCTGCTCTGCTTTCTTGACAAATTATTTTTGTTTCGCTTTGTCCTTGTTGCTGGAGGGTTTGATTCTTTGAGATACTGTAGAGCGATTTGGAGTTGGTCAGCCGAGAGTAGTCGTGAGAAATGGAGAAAGAACGTCAGAGAACCTGAACTGCGGATAAAGTCGCTCTGTTCCAGCGGAGGCGAGCAGAGGGTTACGATCTCAGTGCCCAGGCACGTCGCTCCTGATTATTTCGAGTGGCTCGATGTGCAAGTGGCACTCGAAACCAGCACTGTGCAGAGTACCGATGTTCCTGCCAGTGTCGCTGCTTTAGCCAGGCTGGCGCTGGCGTCTCCAGCGCAAGCAGTAGCTAAAACCATTCCTGAACCGGTTCCAGTCGAACAAACTGTCGCTGCAGCTAGTGTTGGTGTTGTTTCTTCGCCTTCAGTGTCCGTGGGGTCAGCCGCAGTGGAATCTGGCACTGACAGCCAACCTGCCAGGAAGCCGAAAAGAACTTCAGGCAAGGGCTACTACTGTGCTGTTCCGCTCTGCAGTAATCGGTCTTTAGATTATGTCACTTGCATTTCATCGTTTTCCCAGTGATGCAGAAAGGTGCAAGTTATGGCAATTTGAAATTAGGAGGGACGTGGGATCAAATTTCAAGATCACATCAAACACCAGAGTATGCAGCTCTCATTTCAAACAAGATGATAACGTCGGCAAGCTCCTGTCTGGTGAGGAGCCAGAAAGAAAATGGCTCAACCCCACCGCTGTGCCAACCCAGTTCCAGTGGACGCCAACTCCTAAACCAGCGAGACGAGTTCTGAAGAGAAAACGTCAAGAGTCTGAGGAGCCACAAGATATTGATGATGCCGGGGTCGTTTCTGTGGTGTCTGTTCGGCTATTGACCCAGCACCGACCCCTGGTCCTGTGCAGGGTTTGCCATGTGATCACAGATATATCAGTGTAAGTGACCTGAGTGAAGTTGATGATCACATGGCTGGCCTAGAAAAAAGACTTCAGTGAAATTAAAAAAGAGTACGAGAGCCTGAAGTGTCGTTCGATCGATTTAGCCAGCATCAGAAACAATCCTGACAAGTTCAGGTTCTTCACCGGGCTGCCTAACTACGCAGTGTTCTCAGCCCTGTTCAAATACCTCGAACCCAAAACCAAGAGGATGCAAACTTGGCGCGGCCTATCTACCCTTAGACATTTGTATGCCACTGGTCCTCAGCGATGGCCATTAGACGTTTCAGACACTGGCTGACCATCATCATCACAGAATATGAATTTTTTCCAATAAATACTGCGTGAATGTGAAAAAGATTGTTACATATATTCCATATATTCCCCCGGAAATACAAGTTCTATCAACCAACCAAGTATTCCACTTAGCTCAATCTGTGCATTCAGAAATGATTTGTTCCAGTAATAATCTAACATCAGTCCGAATTATTATTCAGTAATGTCTTGTAAGTCAATGTTTTACTATGATGACAGACCATTTTGATCTCTGCCAATTTCTGGTTTGAAGACATAAAAATGATGATTATTGATCCAGAAAGTCGTTAAAAGATCAGTGCAATCGATGACGAGTTTTCGGTTGTTTGTGAGGGGTTGAGAGGTGAGGTGGAATGAAATGTTGCTTTCGTTCACAGTGTACTGTGTTTATGTTGGGCAAGATGATAAACGTCAACAGACATGACGAGGAAAGATCAGAAGAGAAGCAGCCATGATCTAGAAAAACAGTCAGAAGCACAAGCGTGCATGCATACAACATGTCTGTTACGGAAGGTCCAGACAAACTCTGCATGCCATGGCTGCAAAAATCATCCTGCGCAAACAGCAAAGCCGCGACATGTGAACAGCACTCTCCTTATCCGGAAATGCACTGGCAGTATCCACCTTAGCACACTGGATCGTCCCTGCTGATGCAGACGATACACGTGTAGGCTTGCTTTGATGTATCTTGTGATGGCCAGCATTTCGCACGGACAAAACAAAAGTTTGTTCCACCTGCAAACAGGTTTCCCTCCAAATGGTGAAGGTGGTGCTCATCAAATAATTGGTACGCACGAAGTTGCTTGTAGCACTGCAAGCTCTCCTTGTCATAATCTTTTTCCGGGGAATTTAACAGATAGTGCTTGACAGCCTCAGTAATGAAGAAAGGGATTTTAGTTAGGCGAGATAGAGACCAGCCAGATGTTATGTGTGAAAAGCTTGGTAGCTTCTTGTACGCTGCCATTACTGGCTTTGGTAATGCAGGCTTGTCTGCCTCCTCGTCTGGAACCCCTTCGCCAGCAGTACTCAAGTGCAAATGTTCACAGATGAGAAGGTAAAGATCACGTCTGGATACACGCCCTTGGTAGGGAATACCGTCTTTGCAAAGTTGGCGCAGCCCTTGCATGCGTAAGCGCATGATATCCCCACAAGAGGTGGGAGCGCGCAGGACAGAGCTGGACAGAAGTGAATATGTGGCCCTTTCAGTAGCAGCATCAGCTGCTGTTTGCACTGGCCCTGAGCGGCGGGTTTTACAGCAGGTTCAGGAGTGGTTTCAGCTACTAGGTATACTGCTTGCACTGGAGACGCCAGCGCCAGCCCGGCTGAAGCAGCGACACTGGCAGGAACATGGGCACTCTGCGCAGCACTGGTTTCGAGCGCCACTTGCACATCGAGCCCCTTGAAATAATCAGGAGCGACGTGCCTGGGCACTGAGATCGTAACCCTCTGCTCGCCTCCGCTGGAACAGAGCGACTTATCCGCAGTCCAGGTTCTCTCACATTCTTTCTCCATTTCTCACGACTACTCTCGGCTGACCAACTCCAAATCGCTCTACAGTATCTCAAAGAATCAAACCCTCCAGCAACAAGGACAAAGCGAAACAAAATAATTTGTCAAGAAAGCACAGCAGGAAGACGTGTCGTGGGCTGCGATGACAGCGCGAGCGCTCAGGCGTAGCCATCCAACGCCATTTTTGCACCATGGCAACACAACTTCGGCAATGAGTGTATAGGGGGTGCCTAATTGGCTGGACTTTATACAGGGAGTGTTGTCCACATAAAGACTCTTTAATCTTTATAGGTGATTTCAAAATTTGGACTCCGTAGAGTTGATTCCAATTTTGGACTCTGTACAGTGGATTTTGGACCAATGGACTCTATATAGGGGTTGGACATCATATAGGGGCTGGACGCTCTACTGAGTCCAACATATATGAACCCTGAAACCAACAAAGGTGGTAGGTACAACATTACACCTTCAAGCACCCGAGCCCGTTGGCAACAGACCCAACACTATCCGGCATAAGTGTACCCACCAACCGAACTAACTGGCACTGGCACACACACACACATTCATGCACATCCACACACTCGCACTCATACGCACATGTGCACACGCGCGCACAAACACACACACACACATACACAAACAGAAACACACACAGACACACATGTACACTGACAGCCACACATACCATTGCGTTGCAATGTTCTCAGTTCATTGTAGAAACACTGCTGCAGCACGGAACTGACCAGGAACGGAGATGGAGCGAATACTGCTGCACTTGCAAAGCAAGAAGAAAAAGAATGCCGCAGCCAGAGCGTATGCTCCTAGTATCTTGAATTTGAGGGCAGCAAATGTTACATTATGCAAAAAGAACGACAAAAAAAGAACTACATTTGGATTACTTCATTATATAAAATGTCACTTCAGCTCGTCCTCCTTATTGCCATATTAAAATTGTTGTCTCCTCGAATATTTAGAACTACATTTCTCGTTTCTTTCCTACGTCAGCCAACGAGAAATGACGCATATGTCGTGGCAAAATGAGACAGACTAGAAGGAGGGTTTGCACAACACTAGTACAGAGAGGGGAGAAAGAGAACGAAGGCGTGGTGGAAGTCTAAGCAAGAAAGCAATCAACACCAGAGATGCTTTTGCACCAAAAAACAAAGAGAGAGAGAGAGACAGCTTTGTCTTTAGTGCAGGTCGTATCAGAGCTATCAATGCCCCACCATCACAGCTGCCAGTGCGTCTCCGTGCGACCCCTTCCGGGCTCACACTGCGACCATGAGCACGCGTCCATGCGTCAGCAAAACGCAGAAACGTGGCAGTCGTGCTCACACTAGGCCTCGTACACGCGTAGACGTGAACTTGTCACATAAACTTTACGAATTGCGGTTCGTATCCAAAAGAGTTCGTGCGTTTCCTAATAAAGTTGTGGCCCGTTTTGGATGTAATTTTTCGCATGTTGCATGTTGGAGGAAGTGCCTCGTGGCTCGTATTCTTGAAGTCGACGAAAATAATTCATACAATCAGGTAGGTTTGGACTCTTGAGGGACTGCCGCTGACATCCAAGCGCTTTCGCTTTCCTGACCTCGTGGTCACTGAGCAAGTGCCAGTGCAGTGGAAATTCCGGTAGTGGTTTCTTTTGTCTGTTGCCAAGATGAGAACTGTATTTTCCGATGATATGTAACTGAAATGTCTTGAGGTATGGCATTCCATCATCGCAGAAAAGTAGAGAAAGATGATTTCCAAAACCGAAAAGCCAGACAAAGCTGCCATCGTATTGAACGAGTACACTGTAGAAATTGGTCGCTCACCCGATCACAACGAAGCAACTAGAAAAACAAAAACAAAATCGACATCGTCCGAAAAGGGCAAAGAATGCATATATGGCGGTGCGTGCGTGCAGGACCACAACTACAAAATTTAAAAAAATGTGCAAATGTCGAGGTGACATCG